TGTCCTTGGTGGCCATAAGTCCCAAACAGAAGCGAAGCCAGGGTTGAGTCCGTCGTTGCTGCCGCATATAAACCGTCGCCTGGACAGTAGCAGAGTTCATATCAGTTTGCTTCCCTTCCCCACAAATCAACACGTTTGGGAAACAAACAGTAGAGAGATCGAGGAATGTGCCGTTGTCGTACTTTTTGACATTTGCAGACACCGAATCAGAAAGATTAGGGGTGTCCCTCGCCTCGAGAACCTTAAGCAATTCCTCTAATTGCAACGATAAATCAGTAAGTGACTGTGCATCTTTAGACGAAGCGTCCGTCTCTTCAACTCTCTCGGTTGGATTGTACTTTCCGTTGATCACATCGTCAAGGAGCTCATCGTATCCCTCTGGAGTGAATGATGGGGGTACAATAACGTCATCATTAGCTTGGTCACGAGAATTGGCTCCGTCTCCCCTTCGCTATGAAACAGCATCGATAGTGAGATGGAGAAAACAGTTCATAATATGAAGAGTCGTACATAGGGAAGGAAATATATTGGGATATTCTTTACTGACTTCGGGCCAAGATAAACCAATGGTCAATAAGATGGAAGATTTCTCCATATACTCTGAAGTGCGAATGGATTCTCGTTCGGATTTGGCTACGAAGGACGAGCGATGTAAGACGAAGAAGTCAGGCCGACAATCCTGGCTGTCGGGCAATTCAAGTGGTAGTCGATGGTAAGCGCAGGGAAGGGTCGTGATGCGAGTTCTTAGCCGGCGCTCTGACAGGTTCTTTGTATCAAGATTGAAGAGATTTCCGAAGATGTAGCCGAGAACGCCGACAATATTGAAAAATTGTTGAGCACCGCGCTCTGTTCCTGTGCTGAGATGCTCGCTCCAGGACCAGCTATACGACTTCTTCATTCTATCATTCACCTTGCCTGCCTTGGAAGCGAGACGGGCCAACGATGCTGCATGTAAGCAGGCTTCTATCCAGTCATCACGCTCAACTAGTGCTGCTGTTTTTCCGAATTTGACAGAGAGGATCCCGTAATGAAGGAAACAGAGAGTGATCTTGGCAGCTAAGGAAATGGAGACGATGTCATTGAAGGCATGACCTACGAGGTCAGCACTAGCCCGATGGCAGCACTAGCCCGATGGCAGCTAAGTAGCTTGTGGGTGAAACTGTCCAATGCACATTCTTTCGTTGGATATTCGAGATTACCCGACTTGACAATAGGGGTACTCGCAGAGCCACCGCTTGAGCTCCGAGTCTGTGCTTGCCTTGGAGCTCGTTGTTTATGACGCACCGTGGCAGTACTAGTTCCTCCGAGGGCTGAAATATTGTGTCTCGCACTGTCTTGAAGGAACACCGCTTGCTCGATCTGGAGTCATGTTACGCGTGTAAATGAGTCTACTGTGAGTAGACGCAGTGAAAACTTTGGCTGCTCACGAATCCAGCTTCTTGGCCACGCACACTGGCAGCGCACGGTTGCATGATGGTACCATAGGCTGGAAATTCGAAGCCTCCTTCAGACTAGTCTATGTCGAGTTAAGTAATAGCACAGGTAGCAGGCCATGAGCCCAGATAGTTCGGAAAATGCGTCGGACTTGGAATTGGGATAGACTTGGCCGATGTCACGCGATCCTCCTGGCACCGTCACTCAGCACGGGCTTTTTCTGGATGAGAATGTGACTATAGATTAGATAGTAGAGTGTACAGACTGGATACTGGCCAGCTGTAGTAGAGTTCGTAAATAGCGTGAACGTGAATTGAAGAGAAAGGATTAGGAGGTTATGACTTCTTATTTCGTCTTATCTCATCTCCAACCTTGATTTTTCATTTTTCTGCACAATGAGTATTTGAGATTCGGCGCCTGGATGTACTTCCCCCTATGTAACATCCCTTGTTCTCTCTGCATTTCCGAGAACGTATTTCTAATTCCCATTGTCATTGCTCAGCCAGTCGCATTCTTCAACTTCCCATTGAATTTTGGACGTATCTCTTCCTAAGTGTTACAACTAAACATAGATACTGGACGAGGAACTCCATCTCATCATGAAACCACACGTTGCGCGTGACGAGCGTAACAAAGAAGCTGAATCCGTGAGTAGTCAAGGTTTCACGTCTCCTCGCCAGTAGATTGTGGAAAACATACAGGTCGAGCAAGAGTTGCCCCTTGAAAACAATACAATATACGATAGTGATATTTCCGCACCCCCAGAAAGCGCTGAAATATTAGACAGATTCCTGTAAGAGCTCCTCAGTAGTCTTCGAGCCAATGCTGACTTGGTAGGGACGGTGACTGGCTCTGTTTCGAAAGTCGAGCAAAAGTTCCAGCGTGACTGGCGGACGGTCAGTATCAATACGCATTGAGCGCATCATTTTTTCATCCCTTGGACTTGGGAAAAAGGTACCCTACCGTTCATGTCGATTCCTCTCCTTCGTGGCGGGCAGCACTCTATAACAGACGATGTAAGTTAGTTATCCCGGGTTCTTCGTACCGTTTGTTGAATGTCATGCAACATCACAGCTCCAGAGTTTGTTTTTCGTATTTTACCTCTCCTTGTTCACATTCAACGAACGATCGTCCAACTCTCTCCTTTCCTCCGGGTCACAGTCGTCCATCTCCTTTGACTGGCCTGGGGCTTGTCGGGAGTGGACCGATTGTTATACATCACACCTAGGCTATAGAAATATGAGGTATATATGGGCGAGCAAGATCGGTTTCTTCACGGGTTCAGAAGATTGGCGTCTGAAAGCCATCTCTGGCGCACTGCCGTTCTGGAATGCGAAGAATGGCAAGCTGAGAAGGAAGCACCGGCAATTATTGTACTCTTTCCACCAACAACTGTGGACCCCGAGTGAAATGAAGGGGGTGGCGTCTTGCAAGATAATAGGGAGGTAACGCCTTTGTCGATTGTGGAGGCGTTGGAAAGGTTTATGAATAACCTTGATTCGGCAGTACCAGTTGTTCAATAAATCTTTGTCTCTATATATCAGTATATGTACCCCCTTTGCATACATGTATGCTATTGAACACCGTGGTCTTTCAGAAGTATATTGCAAGTACCACATCACATTCAACGATTGGAATACAAAGTATGAATGCAAACCTTATTGAATGATCTAATCCGACAGCAGCCGAGTGTCCTTTCTATTAATCCTCAAACGGCTCAAGGGAATTTTTTGGACGAAGATAAAGATGGGCAGTGCGACAGAGACTAAATAGCAAGGGCTAAGACGCGTGACGCGTGACGCTGTGACACTCCAAATGAATGACGGATTGACTTAACGTCTCGATAGCTCAGTGGTAGAGCATGCGATTGCAGTGAGTCTATCCTGTTCTTATATCGCATGGTCCGGTGTTCGAACCACCGTCGGGACTTATGCAACCAGCTCCAGGAGGGCTGTTCTTTTTTTCTTTTCTTCACGGCCCTGTGTTAGTAAATCGAACCCAAATGGAAACGTCCAAATATCGGCAAAAAGATCTTCGCGTCGCTCATGCCAGCTGCCAAGCAAGTGCTCGTGGAGGCCTTGTTTCGGGAAGGGTACCATGATATAGAATTATTATTTCTTGAATTACCGCAGGACCCTTCGTGACGACTTCTCTCTTCTCTATACACATGCTGAATCTCTTGGAGGACACACTCCGTATGAAGGTCCACATGTAGTCGTGAGATCCGGTGTGAAACCTTGATTTGACGCGTTCTTTGGGTCATGAGCGAGAGGGCGGGATAGGGGTGATACTCGTATGGGTATGTCATAGAAATCCAAACCTGATTCTCACATCTAACACGTCTAACACATACAAGGTATTGATGACGAAGAAGTTCGCTGAGTTCTTCTCCATCTCGAACAGAACATCGACACCCCCAAAACGTGTCTCGTCATTCACCCTGTCATCCAGAGAGCCGTCAATACGCAGTAGCCGCTAACACTGCACCCAACATATCTCACAGCCCAGCGAATGTCCTGAACGATAGTTTAATCGTTGCAAGCACGCATCAACCAATGGACCAAGGCCATCCAACCAGCGACGAAGCTCACGCGCGACGTCGAGTCCGGAACGGCTCCATAAGAGATCAACTTTTGAATTACGTAGTGACGAGATTAAAATGGTGATTAACTATCTTCGGAACAACACCAAACGATTCCGTGCTACCGTCAGTTTCATTGCCGGTACATACCGGCCTCAAGACGCTACAGATCTGGGTGAGTCTTGTTTTGTATGGCCGTACTTCATTCACTCATACACCGATAGCACATAAATAGAACCAGCTCATGAAAGACTTCCCGTTGAACGAGCTTCTTTCCGCCACCGACCTTGAAATTTTTCAAGAATCCCTCACCCTCATCTTCGGACACATCAGCCCCAAGCTCAAACATTCACTATACGCAATTCGGCGAGCACTTCCGTTCGTAGAGGCTATCTCACACGATTTTATTTCAGTAACCAGCCCCTCCGCATTCTCACTTCTCATTGCCTAGCTTTACACTTCATACGAGAGTTCCACCGTCTCCTCGCAGAAACAATGAACAATTTTCGGGCATGCGATGACTAGATCTGTGGTGCGATTTAAGGATACCAGACACTTAAACTTATCAATTCAGTGAAGGAAGATCAAATGCTTGCTCGATAAAGTATGCTCAGTCGTATCATCCTCACTGCACCCTACTCACTATTCACCCAGTTTAAACATCAATATCGATTCTCAAACGTCTATCACATGTCTCAAAGCGTGATCTCTCACCAGTCGCAGGAGCGGTCATCTGGGTGCGATAAATCGAGCGCTGACTACTCGCATGCATGAAATGCGTCGAGACGTACGGCAGTTTTATGGCCGAAGGGCCCAAAACTTCAGACCGAGAGTACCGCATTCCGGAAAAGGCTCGACACACGGCCTGTATACGAAGCATGGCTACACAATACTAATCGGCGGAACATGAGCGTCAACGGGTGCCTTTTCGAGATTGTATAACTACGTGGAGGAGGGTTCCCAGCTGGCGGTCTACTTTGATCCGCAGATCATTACTCTGTTCAAGGAGGCCCAAAACCTGCTGTAGCCGAATGTCCAGGGGAATCACTGATATGGCGAAGGATACCGAGAGGGTGTGCCCTGAGGCATGAGAGCAAACAACAGGTGCTTTTATACATTCTCGGGCTAGAAAATAATGGTAACATTCAAGATGCCAACTCAGAAATACACGATGTCCCGAGCGGCAAGAGTGCAAGGTATATAGGCTACGACTGGCATCATGCACGATGTCTTCATGATCATTACACCTCGGACAGTGAAGGCCAGCAAGGAAAGTGCAGACCAGTAGGATGGCTACCTGCAGAGCTGATATAGTCTATCCAGATAAACACTGAAGAGAAGCAAAGCAACGATCTACTTAGAGTCAGAAGCTAGCTTCGGCCTTGGTTCAACATTCATGCGTGCGGTGACCTTGCTGCTATTCCTTCCTTCCCTGCTGAACCCGGTTGCTCAGCGAGATCTAACTGAGTCACTTGAGTGGGATCGTACCACAATAGCCTGATTGTAGGTATACTTTTGGATTACCAGTATTGTCCCTCTCAAACTTATTCGGGGGACCAAGTCTCAGCATCGATAGTGCTCACGCTCTCCCGATCAAGGACTCGGACTGGCAAGTAACATAAAAGACATAGTGGGATACAAAACGTAGCCATTATGTGTAAGATGTGGATATGATGCATGATGAGGGAAATGAGTGATGGAATGGGTAGCAAGTAAGGGTTACCGAGATGGGATATGATCTGGTTAGTACGATGCAGGAGTTGTGAATGGCCATGCAATCACATATCAGACATGGGAACAGACAACGTCATGGGCAGTAATAATCACAGTGGCGGCCGGATGCAGAATGACAGGGCCCCAACACGGTTTGATTGCCATCCCGATCATCGTGCTGGCACGGTGAGGCAGGGTGGTATGCCCGAGTCCAGCACCGGAGTCTCTGTCAGCACTACGTTTACAAGCAGCCGTATGAAACTTAAGGCTAGGATGGGAACCATCATGCTGTGTGCGCCAGAGCATCAATCGTTACATTCTCAAACCAAAACCATCAGAGGAGATTTCGAGGATCGTTGTTCGTCAGGTCTCTTGGTTATCCAGAAGGTGCTAATCGTAAATTCAGCATACCACAAACCTATAACCCTACTCCCCCTTCTGCCCAAATCCGCTCGAGTGGCCAACACTTGGCTGTTGATGCCATCCTGACTCATTGCTGTCATGGTCAAAGATATCCAATTACAGCAACGGAAAATAACAAGGCACAGGAGTGAGAAAATATTTTACACTGGATATAGTGACCAGGCTTCATACTTATGCATAGGAGAGCAATTTGCAACTGGACAATGCTGGACAATATCAAATTCCCGCCAGTCATTTGTAGGTTGAAGCGCTCAAAAGACTCCACTGCTGATCAGAGGACCTAGGGGATGATTAATTCTATGAAGGGCAGATAGAAATGTAGGATCTGGCTATGAGAGCAAGGAATTATAAGTTTGACAGTTAAGACCTGCTTCCAATAGGCAGTGCTAGCGAGCTTAAGATGATACCTATCTATCCACCGTTGGTGACTGGGGTGGAAGTTTGATTTGACTGAGGGAACGATACAGCAACGAAGGGTTTCATTCCACCTTTCGTAATGTAATTTCCTTCCAATAGGCTATCTTTACTCACACAAACCCGACCAGCCACACTCATGATCCGCTCGGCAGGCTTGCGATCTTGACATCGACCTTTATTTTACACAGAGATACCCTCGTGCTCTCACGTCCATCTAGGACAACCGTATCCCTTCAAGCTATAACGCCCACCAGGTGACTGAAATTACTCAACCCCATCTCACACGCTCGCACATCTGCTCCAGCGGCACCATCGGCATGGTCCACGTCTCATTTGAGACCTTGTGAGTCTGGCGCTCTGAATTGACCACACAAGAATCCACAGAATCCGTTGTCCGTACTAGAGCTGTACACCACAGTCCGTCTGACTGGCACGGCCATACATTTGACGGGTGCTGACAAGGAGGGCAACGTGTTACAACAAGCGAAGGCGATGTGGGCCGATACAGGAGGGAGAAGGAGAAAGCGGGCGCAAGGGGGAACACGCCCAAGCTCTGCCCTTACGTCTTAAACATGTCCATCGACACGCTTTCTCACAATTTATCTTCCAACTATACAGATGAAGCTCCAAGCCTGGATTTTCCTTCTCTTTGGTCTCACACAGGCTGTTGTTGGAGGCATTTTACCTGGTGATGGCAGGATTACCATCAGCGTTGGACCACCCACGCACAAGACGTATGTAACTCAATTTTCACTTCATCTTCCCCTGTAACGTTTACTAATCCATTGTTTGTCCCAGCATACCTGGAGAGACCCACTGTGGCAAATCAGCTTGGGGCCACCCTGAAAAGAGATGCTGGAAGTATGAAGATGAGTTGGGGAATTGTTGCTACACTGAGAACATGCAAAGCAATTTTTGCAAGACAGACGCCGAGTGTCGTGTTGGGGCAGACTGCTCACCAATTACCAATCGGGACTTGGGTCTATGGTGATATATATATAACACAACTAAGGATAATTGCCCACGACAATATGCTTCCCCAACGAGTTGATGTCTTCTGACTCATCCCCTGACACTATTGATACGGCCCTTTCTTATCAGAGACCGTTGGAGGAAAGTAATTGATAGTACTTACCACGGCCCAATTTACCAATCTGCTGAAAACTGTAAGCAGGCTTCAAAAACCGTAGACACGGGCACATACCTCCGAAAACCGAAGCACCGAAGAACCCAGCACAACGAAGAAAACGAAAGAAAGACTGTCAGCGGTAGCCCAAACGAGCCGAAAAGCAAGACGAACCCTGATCAGAACCAGGCACCTGACAGGTGGCTGTGTTCAGCCGCCATCAGCCGAATCCATCAGCACTTACCCTGCACCAACCGTCCGAGTACTCGTAAACTCCGCGCCCCATGCGGTTGGCCCACAGGGTCAGGTCAACTTTTGACTGGCAGAAGCGTTGGTAGACAAGCGGATCAGCCTTTTGAAGAAGTGACTGGGGAAATTGGCACTCCGTTAGGATAAGCGACATACTCGACAAGCCCACGTGACTCAAAGTGTGACAAACGCGTTAGGAAGCAGGAAATTGGAAACTCCTTCCTCAGTTCATTGAATTTAGACAATTGGAAAAGAACAAGTTCTGTAAATTACCTTTCTACATGAGATGTTTATTTCTGATGTTGAGTATTTTTGAAATGTGGAGGAGAGTTCATGAAATAGAGAAAAGAGGGTATTTATGTCACATTATGTCTATGTACTTAGTAAAGGTGCCAAAAAGTCGACACGTCAACACGTCAA